TTTTGGGTTAGCAAAAAATAAATAAATAAAAAATATGCAAACAAGGCGAACAGTTGCCAACAAGCAACTGTGACTCTTGTCTAGACTTTAGAGTATCGCAAACTTGTGAAAATGCCTTTTAATTAATTCATGTCTGTTGTTGTTGTTGTTGCTGCTGCTGCTGGAGTTGTGCTCAGACAGAACGTCTGTTGCCACACTAGAGCACAAGCTATTGGCTCTACTGAGCACATCAAAGCGCAACGGTTCTCCAGAGCAGATGAAACACATGTGATAAAGCTGGCCGAATCTCATATGAGAAATAAATCCGAAAGTGATTCAGTCTGAGTCCGAGTCTGCAGTGGGCGGTTCTAGCAAATGTCAATCAGCTGTACGAGTTCCCGGTCGAAAGCCAGGTAAATGGAAGCTCAACAGTTGCCATGGGAAGCCGACAAAAACTCTTTTGATCCATCATAAAAAACAATCTAATCGGACTTTAAAATCCAAAAAAAGGAAACAACAATTTAAAGCAATTTGAACAAAACTAACAGCTGTTATTGCACTGAGCAAAATAATTGACAATTTGCTGAATTGGTTTGCATATTGCAAGCAACTTACGTGAAATCTAGATCATTAAGGTACAATTACGATTACGTACAATTATCAAGGTAGCTAGCAAATCGATTCTTCTGTGCTTCATACAGAAGAGAGAACAGGGGAATATTTCTATATTGAATTTTATGAATTATCAATTTCTATATTCTGCACAAAATCTGAATAATATTATTTTTAATAATATGTAGATATATGGATTGATCACGTTGGTGTTCAAACCATCCGGTTATTGATAGTTATTGTTTAAAGATTTGCTTATTGTTTAGTATAGGACAGATTGCAAATAAAATAAAATTAAATTAAAAAACTATTTTTTTTAATAAGATCACAAAGTTTACTAGCATATAGATAAGTTATATTTTCTTTCAGTGGAATTTGGTTCTGTTAAAGTTGTGCTTAAATTATTGACACGCAGTGCCTCACATATCAGTTACATTTAAGTAGACCATCATTTTGCGCAGTGTATGGTGCCCACTGTGGCATGCAACACATGTAAACCGTCAAAATGTCGTCAGCTGTGGCCTGAGGCAGGCTTTTTGAGTTTTTTTTCTGCTGGCTTCCAAAGATTTGCATTTCAGCATTCTACGCATAGCTGTGGACGGTGAGCTGAGACCGCAGACAGCGGCCATTTACCGTTGCCGTTTAAGCTAATTAAAATAAATTAAGCGCAGCTCCAGTTTAATAATCTGTTTTTGTGGCTAGCCGCAAGGAATCCACACAAGAATTTATACGGGTAGCCGTGAAGCCGTGCAGCGCACGCTAAGTTAAGCTAATTTGTTCGACTCTGGGACATGAGAATAAAACATTTTGTATTGAAATTGCAATCATTCCTCATTGTAGCTCGCCCCGCGCCCCTCTCCTATCGAGGCTGCCGCAAATTAGTTGAACAAATGACCTTAGATATGATTTCGTAATTGGGCGGCGCTAGCAGGCCGACATGGCAACAAACAGCAGCAGCAGCAGTCGAGACTGTTGGCTAACGGCGGCTCATGCGAAAACCCACCCACCCACAACAATGATTAAGTGCAGCAACATGTGAGCGTGCCTGTGCCAGCGCATAAAACCTAAATAAAAAGCGCAACAACAACAGCAACAACAACAAACCACTGGACAACTGCGAAAGCAACAACAACAACGAAAACACAACARCATTGCCTTGTTAGCAGCAAGTCAGTATCAGCATACCCTGTAGAAACCAATTAAAGGGCATACAGAAGCTCAAAATTTGATGCGACTTCAATAAACGTGCAAATGCAAATTTAGATTAAGAAATAGATTTCAAAAATATTTTTTGAAATTAAAATTTTGGCATTTCTTGTATCCATTTTTTGCAGAGTATCTCAGCTGTTTGTGTTACTGAATTCGCACAAATTTGAGTTATTTTTCAATCAGATTTTTCATTTTTTCGTTGGCATTTATTGGCGTTTAGATTTTGATTGGCTCAAATGTGCAGTAAAAATAAATTATTTTTTTTATTACTCTACAAAGACTTGGACAAATCCATTCGAACAGGTAACCAGAGCGTTTTGCATGTGTTTTTTTTTATATTTTAACTTTGTCTATTTATTTTTGTGTTGCATAAAATACACTGAGAATTAACTTTCAATTAGCTGTTCCCGCAGGTTTGAAGTCAATTTGCATGGGCATGGAGTGAGTCACGTGGCAGGAAAACGGGGAAAAATGAGGCCTGCTGGCTACAGCTGGAGCATTAATTAATCTTATTTAAATGGTTTGTCATTTAGCTAGCAAGCATAACCAATTTTGATGTGAACATTGCAAAAGTGAATGTTGAACAATTGAAGTTGGGCTCAAGTTTACGCGGCCATAAAACCAAAATAAAAAGAAAATAAAAAAATAAAATAAAATAAAAAACAAATGGAAGAAAACAAAAAATTGATATTGTTATCGGTTGTTAATGATTGTAACGTCTACAGCAGCAGCGACGGCAGCAGCGACGCCAACAACTCTCTCAGATGCTAAAACTGTCCAGGTTAACGCTCGATTGGGCAACTGTTCATTGACTTTCAACACGGAAGCATGCTGCGAAATCCAAACTCTCACCACTCGCCGCTCGCTGCTCGCCGCTCGCTGCTCGAATCTTGGCTTTAGACTCTTGGCTCCCGTCTGGATGCATTTGCGTTAGCTAGAGCATAAAGTCCAAAATGGAGCGCGACTGTCGGCTGTGTTTAGTAGGCGCAACAAGATCAACAACTGCTACAGCACGGTCGCTGCTTTAAATTACTTTGAATTGTGTTTAATAGCTGGAAATGATGCCAGGCCGGGCCACCACGGGCCACGACGGGCCAGTTGGAGACCGCTTGTCGACTCGCTGCCCACTGTTGATTGCTTTAGCTATTACTTGTTGCCCAAGCGATTATTAGGCATCAATTTGGCACAGCTCATTGGCTAGGAAGTGCCAATTGCCGTTTGGCAGCGTGAGAATCGAAACGGTTTTCCTTTTCCTGCTGATGCGGCCCCCAAATGAAATACAGCAACCACAGCGGCGGCAAGCAAATTGGTTCAAGTTCATGCGGCAACAGCGAAAATTTGTAGCATTTAAGGCATGACAAAATGCCAAACACAACGCACATGTCCACTGGCTGCCTGTTTAGCTGCCCGCCTACCTGCCTGCCCGCAGCTTATAAATATGGTAATGGCCTGGCCCCGGTCCCGTGTCCATTTCGACGATAAATCTAACATAACTATTTTGCAAGCCAAAAACGCGCTCGCGCTCGCACCACTCGCAACGTTCGCATGTGGGCAGCACCACACGCTCTCCGAGCTTCAAGCAAATGTCCAACTGTAGCTGGACATGTGGAACATGTGTATGCCAGGCACTTGCCATGCGCATTGACTGACTGTCCGACTGACTAACTGAGTGACTGACTGACTAACTCGCAGACCAAGACATGGCTCCAGCTCTGATTGCGACAGCTGCGCTTTTGCTGCAAACGCTAATCGTGTCGCACTAAGCGAATTGTAATAATAAAATGGCCAAAACAAAATCAAACAAGTAAGAAAGCTCTAGTCGAGACTGCTCGACTACGAGATCCCCTGAACCCTTGGAGCAATAGATATTTCAATAATTTTTCGCGTCTTTCAGCTTACACAAGAAACACGCACACACACACAGGCATACATATACACACACGCATACAGACACACACACACGCATACATACACAAACGCATACACACACATACACATACACACACACATACACAAACACATACACACACACATACACAAACACATACACACACAAGCACCCACGCATAAACACGCATGGGCTGCAGTGTGCGCTTACTATGAGAACTTAATTGTTTAATAACTTTTTTTATGGACGTACGATCTTCATGAAACTTTCAGATTATGATTATAACATGGATATGCATGTAATTGCCAAAGCACAAGTCTCTAGTATTTGAAATACGCTTTTTACAAAAGTGAGGGTGAGGGGGTGAATTTAAGGGTGGGGGGTAAATTTTAACAAAAACCGAAATTGTATAAATTGCATATAAGCATNACGGACAGACGGACAGACGGACAGACGGACAGACAGACGGACAGGGCCAAATCAACTCAGCTCGTCACCCTGATCAAGAATATATATACTTTGTGGGGTCTGCCACGCCTCCTTCTCCCTGTTACATACATTTCAACAAAACCATTATACCCTGATTTCCCATTGAAAATGGGTTCAGGGTATAAAAACTAAAAACAGCGACTGATGCGATGAACGATATCAAATGACATCGCACAGCACATAATGCCAAAGACACTGAGCATTAGTTTCATTGCTCCAAGCTGAGAGGAGCGCCTCGACTGGCCAAAGGATTCATGTGCATGTTGTGAGAAACGGTGGAACAATTAAATAGTTATTGTGCATTCAGTTATCAGACTCAACGCATTTCATATGCCAATAAAATGCTCTAAAAGTGTCTCAGAGTGCGTAAAACTTCAAAATGAACTTGATCGAGTCTTAGCCTAGTTTCAAATCTGATCAGCTTAAGGTGAAACTCTATAGCGATATACTCCTTCTCAGTACTTTGACTTGGCCTAGACGAGCTACAATTATACACGACAATTACACACACGTGTGTGTGTGCGTGTGCGTGTGTTTCGTAAAGTATAGGTTTGACTACGCAGCGGCATCTTCATTAGCTGAGACCATAGCGACATGGCCTGGTCTGGCCAGGCCAATGCAAAGCAAGCCAAGCGCAACACAAGGCAATTTTATATTTATGGCAATTAATTTGAATTTCTACACGCAAAGCGTGTAAAATGCAACAACATGTCGACGAGGACAAGTTGTAGCTGGCGATGGCAGCGATTAACCAATGAATTAAAGCGATTGTCGAGCAATTAATAAATCTTTTTTTTTCACGTTTAGACTCTTTGTGTGTGTGTGTGTGTGTGTGAGTAGAGCATGGCACGCATGACCCAATCCTAATCGAGAGCTATTTGCCAGACGTTGATTGCGGTTCCCAGGGTGCCCAAATGCCTGCCTGCTGAGTGCTTGGGATGAAACGGCAACTGCCGACTGCCGTTGCAGTTGCAGTTGCAATTGTTGTTGTTGTTGCCGTTGCAGTTGCCATTGCATAACTTAGAGACTCTAATGAATCGAATGCGGGCTTTTCATAGTTGTTTAATTTATGGCCGTCACACACACGCACATGCGCACGTTCACGACACTGTGTATTGGAGTTGAATGGTGGCGAGACGCCGCGACGTGGACACGCAATGGCCGAGATGTTGGTCAGCGTCAGCGCTAGAGGCAGCGCCAGTTTGGTCACTTGACTGTGACTCTGGCTTCAGCTTTGGCTTTGGCTTTGGGGATATATTGGCGCGTGTGTATCGCACTTTTCAATTAACTTACAAAACGCATGCCCAAGCACGTTTTGCCGTTTTGCCATTGCGTTATTGCTGCTCGTTGTTGTTGTTGTTGTTGCTGTTGTTGTTGCTGTTTTTGTTGGCATTTGGCTTGATCTGTAAACAAGTGTCTGCTGCTTGTCTGGTTCGGCAACGGCCTTCACCATGAACTTGAACTTCTCTCTTTACCCCATATTGCTTTGGCTTTTATCATCTAATTGCAGCCCGTTCTGCACAATGAGCGCACGCATGCGCGTGTATGTGTGTATGTGAGTGTGGAATTGGCTAGGCGGAAACATTGAATATGCGTGCTGTATAATTATAGTTCATATGCTATGCAAATCGTATACAATTTATGGCTTGGATGCTGTAGTCCGAGACCATTGTCTGCGACATAACAGCTTAATAGCCAGCTACATTTATGCTTCTCTATGAGTGTGTGTGTTTGTGTGTGTTTATTTAAATACGATTACGATAGATATGTTCATTTATATACATTTGCTTGCGGCGGGCTTTGTCAAGTCGTTAATGCCGACAAAATGCTTGCCGCTAAAAATTGACACACGACAACGGGCAGCAGTCCACTGGCGGCTGGCCATAAATTCAACTGCCCAATAAAAATTCTGAATACTACAATAGCCTCAGAGTTTGGTCTGGCATGGGTCAATTTGCGGTGAATGGTGGGCAAAGTGTGTTGGCTCACGGCTCTTGCATATTCGCATTGGCGTGAGCGAGCATCAAATAAAAATGCTGTGAAAATTGTCGCTTGGCATTGGGTAGTGCGAAAATAAAAGACTTAGGCAACGAACTTGCTCAAAATCACGTATACGCAAAATTAAATGTAACTTCTTTTTTTCTTCCCGCTTTGATTTTATTCGAGTTGATATACTTACGAATTTCATGTTGATTTAGTTGAAGTGTTTTATTGTAGACGGTAATTGAGCTGAGTTGCGCTGCAATTAGTTAACAAATATTTTCAAAATTAATTTTCGGATTTATTAAGCACTACACTTTTCTTTAGAGCACGAATCACCAGCTTGTTTATTTATTTAWTGATTTTGTAGGTATTTCTTAAAATGAATTTTCAATTTCTTTTGCTTTAATTTTCGGATTATTGTTGTATTTTAGTTATAAATTGCATTAATATTATGATTTGTATTATTGTTGTAAACGTTCGCACGCGAGTCAAGTGAAACAAAAAGCCAAATTCAAATGCGTTCGGTGGCTTCAACAATGAGCTGGGAACTGTTAGCTGGATGCTGTTTGGCTGTCAGCTGGGTATTGGCTTACACGAATCTGCGCTGCGCTGTATTTAAAAATTGTGTGTGCTGCCTTTGTTGCTCGACTTTGGCTTTGACTCAGACTCAGACTCAGACTCGGACTCGGACTCGGGGACTCGGAATCGGAATCGGACTCGGGCTCGGCGGATCGTAAGTTTGTACGTCGAGCTGTGCGGTAAAACGTTTAATGAATTCCAACAGAAATGCTCAGTTGATTTTATATAAAGCATGGCAAGCGTGCGCCGTTGTCGACGTCGACGTGGCCGACGTTGCTTTGTTAGCTGCGTTTTGAGTGAGTTTTTTCATTCATTATTTTTGTTGTTGTTGTTGTTGTCATTTCTCACTCGAGCATTGAGTGTGAGAGCCTTTAAGCAAGTTGTTGTTGCTGGCCTACGTGCGACACGTGATGGTCGTTGTTCTTGGGCGGATAGTGGCAAATAAAAGCAACTTTCTAGCGTTTGGCTTGCGCTGGTCTCTGCTGCTGTTGATGATGTTGCTTTCCGGTAACCAGTTTCAGTTCCAGCTTGAGTTGCACTTCATTCGGGTCAATCAGCCTCGATAGGCGCTTATGCAAATCTAATGCAAATGTGATAGGAAAGCTGGCAAACACCTTGACTTGATTGCAGGCGAAAACAGCAACAAAAATTGCATCAACAACTACAACAACAACGATAGCAATAGCAACAACAATGCTGCTGTGTTGTCAGCAACTATAGCTTTGGCAATTTCTTCCGCCTCTGTCGTGTTGACCGTGAAAATTTCGTGTGATTGTTGGTCTTTTTTGTATTGATCGCTGTTGTTGTTGCTGTTGCTGCTGCAGCTGCTGCTCAGTTTTCAGGCCATTTTTAAAGGAACGTCGTCGACTTGATTTAAATGACAATTTACGAGATATTTGTATGATTGTCTGATTTAAGATCGCAATATGCATAATCATCATAATCATAACGCACGAGTTGCTTGCCGGAAGCAGTAAACAGAAGGCTTAAACCACAAGCCAGCCGCCAAGTTATTTCTGTATGTACATATATTGTGAATTACGATCTTTTGTTACAATTGATATTGCTTTAAAGTGTGCAACATAATATGCTTGACATTTACGACCCTTAAACTGGAAAACAATTAACAGCATACGAGGGTAGTTCTTGAGTTGTTGCTGATATTTCAGTAGATTCACGTTTCAATGTAGCTTCAAATTTAATTTAACTTAATCAATTGGCATGCTTTAGATGTTGTCAGATCTGTAAAAGAAATAACTAAGTATTAATAACTTTAAAAGGTTTCTCCGTCTGAAAGTATTCGCGATAAAGATTTCGTGAACTGAATAGAGTAAGCACAGCTATAAATCATTTTATGACTTAATTAACGACCCTCGCCATTAATGCGACCAATTAAATACAAATTGCACACTTGTCGCAGCAATGCAAGCAATGCGTTAGTTTTAGCTTTTTTTCCGCCAGTCAACGCACTTAATGGAGGGGAGAACATAGGAGAGGTTACCTTTGCAAATCGATAATATTATCGATAGTAAAACCAAGTTCAAGTTCAGCTGTCAGGTGTTTGAGAGTGGCAGCCGCAAAAACCCAAACTTTTTGTTGATGCCACAAGTCGCAGAAAACCGCAGTAATTGAATTGCATTGAGTTGTATAATCATATTTTGTATTGTCTTCAGTTGGCGTTGGGGTCAAGTTCAGTTGGCCAATTGGATAGAGCAATTGTTGTAAGCTGTGCAACAATTAGCGCGTTTAATTGTCGATTGCCATTGATTTATTACTGATCGACTAAACAATTAACAGATTGCCTTGTGCGTACTTTGCCTTTTGCCTTTGCCTTCTTTCGCTTTCTTTTTGTTGCTGTTGCTGTTGCTGTTGCTGTTGCTATTACTATTGCCATTTGCTTTGCTTTTGTTTTGTTCTGTTAATTGAAATAGTTAAACGTCTGACAGCGGTTATCAATCATTGGAGCAAATTTTCGGCCTCAGTATGGCTTGGCCCGGCCTGAGGTTAATGCCACTTTAAGGAATTGAAATCTATGTTGGGCTCAAACTTGTCTGCACATGAGCGACCGACTCAAATTAATGGATTTTTAAACGCGCTAAAAATAGTAGCTGATATGATAGTCCAAGTATTTGCATGCTAATCTGTTATCTCATCTCTCAGCTGTCGGCAGCTGCGCTGAAATCAATGAGAATTACAAGTCCATCAATCACTGATGGCTCCAAGCGCATCTAATTATAGAGTCCAAGTAATCAAGCCAGCTCATACGTAATTCATTCAAAAGTATCCAACAACAACAAATTACATTACAAATAAAATACATATTATATTAATATGAACCTCGCCATTATACTTGCTCTTAAGGAAGTCAACTGCAAGTGAGTTTAAGAGGAGCAATAACTTGCTCAAGATCTTATTGTGGAACAGGATTCATGTGATTTTAACCTGAGCGACGACTTACATACACTCTCAGAGCCGTGTTAAAAGATAACAAAACTATAATCGCCGAAAGAATCAATCTCAAATTTTTAATATATATTTATATTCCAAGAAATGTCTATCTTCTATGATAGAAGTGATCATGATTTCAATTCAATTCTTAAATTATTTATATTTGGTATAAATTTGGATTGCATTGCTTTTTTTTGTCATTCACTTAACTCCCAAAGTTGTCGATGTGATTCATTGACCTTCCGGAGTTAATAATTAAGTGTATGACGATGTCGCACTTAGTTTCTGATATAATTAGATACGTTATATTCCAATTAGCAACGTGTCGAGGAAGCGTCGCTGCATTAGACGGTTAACGATTTACAGTTATTGCAGCTGCAATCGCCAATTAGCTAATTGTGCCCAAATATGCAGAGAGAATTATGAAAAGCGAGCGCAAGTTCACATGTTTAGCATTCCAAATTTCCGGTCCACTTCGATTTGCATTATACATGCACACACACATATACGCAAATGCATGTGTGTAAAACGTTTAGCGTTTATTCTCACGACATCGACCTTGGCAATGCTCAACGCAGCGCACCGAAGTTCTGTGTGTGTGAGCTTAACGCACGCTCCAGTAGCTTGCAAGGAAGAAAACTCTTGTTACTGAAACTGGTTTTCAGTTTTTCACTTGGAGCCAATTGAAGGCGTGAATATGCGTACGCAATAAGCCGCTGTAATAACAACAACACCAACAACCACGCATAACATAATTTGGACAAACTGACAGCATGTCGGTGTTATAGTCAAAAAATATAATTGAAACGGGTTGTCACGAGGTTGCAGATGTCTGACAAATATGTTTCCGTTTGACCACTTTCGATAGGGAAGAGTTTATAACTTATTTACTTGTCAACACAAGCAATTTGCATGTTCATTATTCACTTGCCTTTCGACCATTATCGCTACGCAAATTTTTGGCGGTTACTATTTAAATTTTACGCTCGCAGAGCCAAAATTAACAGCTACAGCTCTCAGTGCTGCAAAACCCAACAATTATATCGGCTGCAATATATCGAAAATGTATTTTCGCTGAGGTTTCGAAAAAGTTTGTTTTTTATTAGTATTTATCGATGTTTCTAGTAACTATTGTCAGCTTATGGGACAGCTGTGATTATCGATAGTGCCAGCAGCTAGCTAACAAAAAGCAACCACTCATCAAACCGGCATCAAAACCGAAAAAGCGAGAAAGATTCGCCTATCCTTAAACCAAATTTTTGTAGAGTAGACGCCAACGCATGTTAAAATGACACAGATAAACACAAATTGGATCTTGGCGTTTTTCGGCGCTTTTGTGGCCTTGGAATTAGTAAAAAGCTCTGAAAGCAATGAGTACATGAAGCGGGAACACAGCCTAGTGCGTCCATTTCAAGGTAAGATAAGCTTCTATGATGCATATATCTAATATGCGAAATGTATCGTATTAACATTGCTTGTTTTGTTATCAACCCCAGGCGTTGGCGTTATACTACCACACTGGGATTTTTTGGGAAGCACAATGGTTACCAGTAACTATATAAGACTGACGCCGGATTTGCAATCAAAAAGCGGTGCGCTATGGAACTACTCGGTATGCGGGCGTGCTATTTAGTATTTTAAATAATTATTGATACTATTGTTGTATACCACAGCCCGTTATGGGACGCAATTGGGAAGTTCACGTTGGGTTCAAAGTACACGGCAAGGGCAATGAGCTGTTCGGTGACGGATTTGCCATTTGGTATACGAAAGATCGCATGCAAACAGGTCCTGTATTTGGAAGCAAAGACTATTTCTCTGGACTGGCAATCATACTGGACACATACAGCAATCACAATGGGCCACATAATGTACGTACTTTGTTAATTTTCTTTTGCTGACTTGCAGTAACTGTTATTTTGTTAAATTTAGCATCAACATCCCTATTTGAGTGCGATGGTTAATAACGGCACCTGGAGCTACGATCATGACAGAGATGGTACACACACACAGCTGGCTGGCTGTGAAGTGCGATTCCGTAATGTGGATTACGAAACGTTTATTAGCATACGATATGAGAACGACGTGTTGTCCGTTTCGACGGATCTCGAAAATCGAAACGAATGGAAAAACTGTTTTGTAGTTAACAATGTGGAGCTTCCCACTGGCTACTACTTTGGCTTGTCGGCAACAACGGGCGATTTGTCCGATAACCATGACATTCATAGCTTCAAGTTCTTCGATATAGACACAACTATCACTGTAAGTTTAATACATATTGATAACTTCTAAGTTAGTGTAGCAATGCTAATTACTATTTTTTGTTTTTATCCAGCACGAAGAGATTATGCGCCGTAGCAACATTATTCCAAATGCCAAAACATTTGAACCGCCGCGAGAACACAAAGATGATCCGAAACCAGGAATGTCAAATGCAAAAATATTTTTCATACTGCTTTTCGTAGTCCTGGTGACGGCTGGTGTGGCAATATTTGCCATTTCGTATTTCAAGGATCGCAATGCGCGAAAACGTTTTTACTAAAATCGACAGCTCCAACTGCAAACCAAACTTAGGCATAGTCGACCAAAACATCATGTTACAAGCAGCAGCTGACAAGTTTCAAGTCCTTTTAAAGTTAATTTATATTGAATGTACCCATTACGATATTTATTCATAAGTTATCTAGATGACCCGGGTTTTGTTAGATGTTCGTTTTGAAATTGTGGAATAGGTAAAACAAACAACGACTTAACGGGCAACACAAATGGGCAATTGTTAAATTTAAGTGCAAATTTTTAATCGGAGCTCTAGAAGAATTGAGAACGTATGAATATTATTGCAGTGTGTATATTACATTAGAAAATATTTAAAAACAAACGACCAACCAACTGCAAACTGAAAACTACAGATTCTTAATTAGCTAGACCCAGTGATGTTGTTGACGCTGTCGGCTACTGGATGCTGAGCGCGGAGGCGTAGATCTAACAGTCGTGGCCAACATAGACTCGATCTGACGCACCTGATTGCTAACGAAGCGCTCGTTGGAGGGCTCGTTGCGATCACTTTCCAAGTTATCATTCGATTTATGCATGCCACTCAATATACACTGCTCAAACAATGAAGTGGATTGGCCATCGTCCAGCGAATCATCGGAGCTGTAGTCAGTCTTAGCATTCGAAATTGTCTGTCGTCTGTGGTTGTTGCTTGGCTTGGGCAGCGTGTTTGTGTGGCTCGAGCTGGTGCTGGCACCGCTTGGGGGCAGTCTGCAACTACCAGCGGCAATGGCCTGAAAAGTATGAACAAGGATTAGATGACACAGATGACATAGGCATCCAGCAGCACTTACTTGGCTTAACAGATTCGAGTCGTCGTCAGAGTCCATTGACAGTGAACTGAGCGAATCACTGCGTTTCGGCAGCTGACGCGGCTCCGCTTCTACAGGAACAGCACTTCGTCGTGGTGGCAACTTTGGAGCGGACTCTGCATTCCTAGGCAGAAGTGGTGGCTTTAGTGCACGGGTTGGTCCCACCTGCGCAGAGCCGACAGTTAGGCTGGAGAGACCAGAGATAACGGAGAAATTACAGGGGCTGTCTTCCACGTAGTACTTATTCATCTCATCCGTCACTGGTAAATAACTAGGAAGAGCGCTGCCGCCGCAGCGCATCTTGGAAATGGCATCCTCGGGAACGTTCATTGCCATATCTTGGACTTGCGGCATAGGACGTGTAATTTGTCCATTGTCATTGTGGTCATTGGCAGTGGAGGCTATTGAAAGCACCGACAGATTGCTATTGCTGCCCGCTTTGGACAGCAGAGCTGGAGTATCCTCCGTGCAGTAGCTACGCGGCGCATCGTTGCCATTGAGGTCGTGTCCGTTGGTTGTGCAGTTATCGTTTGGAGGCGGAAGAGATGGCTTGACTTTGCGATCGCGTTGAGGCGACTGGGGCATGCTCTGCGTGGGTGAGTCTGGCAGCTCTGAGGGTGAGATCACGCCGCTTTGCATGCGACTGTATTCACTAATTACAGAACCATTATCCTCACACCCAATAGTCTCATCATTCACCAACGAATCCATGGAACTACGTCTAGAGAACATAAGCGGCGTCTCCAGGGCGGAATCAATAGCCTGGCAAGCTGCACCATTATTATTGCTGTTGTTATTGACACTGACTTGTTCTGGCGCCTCGACAACTGATTGTTGGCTATTTGTTGCTTTGGGAGCAACTGGCTCCTTCTCGTGCTTCACATGCACGTCCGTTAGACTGGTGAGTGAGTCGAAGCGACTGAAGCAGCCGGGTGTTCCCTCTTCACAGTAGTTGATCGGCCGCTCACCGGGCTCCGGTTCGGGCGTGTGCAAACAGCCATCGGATTTATCGACTGCTAGATTCTCCAAAGCATTACTGCGAAGGTTGAGTGTTTTCGGGCGTTCCACATGATCGCTGCTCAAATCACAAGCCGAAGCGGATTTAGCCAGAGTCGGAGGAGCGGGGTTCGCACTTTCATCCAATATGAGCAATATTTCACTACTCTCTGGAGGCCGTTCCTCACAAGTTGCTGGCTGTGAATTCGCGACTTGGGCGGACCGTCTTTCCTTATATCGCGCACTGAAATCAGTGAGCTGATCTAAGTCGATGGAATTGTCAAAACTGGTCTTAGCCGGCTTGTGCTCGTTATAACTGTACTTCATCGAATAATCAATGGGCTGCTCCTCCGTGGGTGCCCTATAATGGCTCAGCGCAGTACTAGTACTGAGCTTTCGTTGTTCAAACGCGCTGTCAGACTTAGTTGAGAATTTCGTTGAGTCGGAATCAGACTTGCCGGAATAGATTGACTCCCGGCTTTCACATTTGCGAGGTAATGTGCTGCTGCCATTGCTGCTGCTGCTTGCTGTCCCGCTGCGTACCTTCTTCAGTGATCCTGTGGGATTGCTACTTAGTCGCAAAGAGCTGTAACGACGCGGCAATGTGCCTGCATGTCCGTTGGGTATCTCTTTTGAAGGTAACTCATTGTTGGTTGACAGCTCAAGAGCGTTGCGATAATTTACCAAGTTCTTAAGCGCTGAGGCACTGCCCTCAGCTATCATGGAATTTTTGGAGCTAGTCAGCGAACGTAGCAGCGGAATGGCATTGTGATCGATAAGAAACTGTTGATCCTGAGGACAACGTGCAGACAAGTTCCAGAGCGTGCCACAGGAGTTGCTAACTACCGTCTGGTTATCCATCTTGAGTTGCTGCAACAGAATTGCCAAGCAGTTGTGCTCCCTTAAGATCTGACGATATGATTCACAAACAGCTATGTGACTGGATACATTCCGCAAGATGCCGCCAGCGTTCTCCACTATCTTCAGCGTCTTGCTTGGCCCTTCGTAGCTGAGCATTTGTACCAGAAATGCCAATGCCCCATCGACGGCACAGAACTCCGCCTTATTGGTGCTGCAGTGTGCCGACAAATTCCAAAGTGCTGACAGAATGGCCTTCAATGTGTTCTCGCTTTTGTTGTGCATAGCGGCCATGGCAAGAGCCGTCACTGTACCAAGCTCGTTAAATATGGTCTTCAGGTGTTTGTCCGCGCGCCAAGATAGATTGCGCAAAACGCTAGCAGTGGCTTGCAACAGATCATCGACATCCGGGGTGTTTGAGTCCAGCTGGGCAACCAACGCCTCCATGAATTGCTTCTGTCCACAGAGAAGTGACTTGTTGTTCTCTTCACCGCAAGTGAGATTGGTTAGCGTCATAAGCGCATAGCGTCTAAGCAAATTGCATTGCTCACGACCTGCTGCCGGTCCATGAACGGCATGGTCTAGATGAACCAGATTTGGTATTGCTTTTAGGGCACCCAACTCGCACATGGTCCTGCGATGTTCCTCATCGAAGCTAGCCTTCATCAGCAGCTTCATAGCTGCCAATGGATGACGCTCTTCATCATCGGCAATCGATTCACCACCACTTTGCAATTGAGTTCGCAAAAAATTGCAACTATAGTCATGTATTTGATCTAGAAGGCGCAGAACCTTCATCTCCCGTTGATTTCCTTGAACAATATTATGTAGGGCTTGGCTGGCATTTTTTCGTGCTGCTCCGCCCGCACCGGCACCGTCATCATTGTCATGCAGAATTTTTACCAACAGTTGGATGCAATCGGAGCTGCGCAATGCTGAACAGGTGTCCGTATTTCTAGAAAGCTCCAAGAAGTTGCGTGTCAGCTCCAGTTGCTTGTGAGCGTCACTCTCGTTTAGCGTCATGTTTACAAATGGTTTCCGCTTTATTGATTTTGCCGGGCTTAACTTTAACACTCTATTCTACGCGTTGTACCTAAGTATATTCCAGGAACTATAAATTACCTGCCTCTTTATGAAGCACTAATAGCTAGCAGGTAGGCGATCTGCGCTGAGATGTTTAGTATATCATTGTGGCATCGGAAACCCAACCTACAGCGCAGAAGCAACTGCCTTTGTTTGGATGATGCTGTTATGTTTTATCGATTTTGAAAAGCAACAAGTAATCGATAGCCGTAGTAGCATGTTTAAGGATATTGGCTTTTATATGATTATATTTTTCTGTTGTTATGGTTGTATACTGGCTTGAAATTGATTGAATTTTGATGTTGTTTTCTAATACCGCAAGTGAGATTAATAGCAAGAAGAAAGATATTCGTAAAAAATTGTTTATCCCTTTGCAATATATTTTAGTATTTTGCTTAGGTTCCATCACTAGCTAGCTTCTATTACGTCACGCATAACAGCTGAGTCTGCTCAGCTGGTACTCATAGTTCGAGTTTGCCGTAAAAAGTTATGAATTTTTTAAAAAAGGTAAATAAAACTATTAGTAATAAAACGTATTATTTATTTGTTTAATTTTTGTAGGTAACAACGCAGATGCTGCCAATGGCTGAAGCCCATCTCAGTCTTGGCAATAATTCAGCCCTACATACTAGCGCGGTTTGCTGTCGCGTGCAGTCTGGACGTTATCGCATAACCGTGAAACGAGACAGGCCGCTCACCTACGAAATGGCTAATCCGCCGCATTTTATTGGACACCGCAAGTCATGGAATTCATGGAACACATGTAAGTTAATGTATTTACGTTTATTCAATTGTATATAATGTAAAAATATTTTTGTTTAGCTACTTTGAAGGATGCCTTGCGTCCATCACAAACAGCCATTGAGGATGTGTTCATTCGAAAATTTATAACTGGAACATGGCATGCTCTTGTATGCTCGGAAATTATTATTAAGCGACAACACAATATGATACGCATTGCTGCTATAATACGTCAGGCTATCAACGCACGCAAGATGTACTTCCTCATTGGTTATACGGAGGAGCTTCTGTCTTATTGGATGCAATGCCCTGTCACACTCGAGTTTCAGACGGTGGCCGATAAGAAGGACGTGGTCTTCAAATACATTTAGTTCATACACTTTTTTACTTGTTGCGCCAATACATTAATACTACTAATACATACATTTTGCAGTCTTACTCAATGAACGTATTCAACTTCACTATTATTACTATGCCAAGATTTAATGGCTTTGTTTACAATGACCCCATCCTGATCTTTTATCTAAAATAAAAAAGATCATAAGCATATAAATTATTAGAAGTCGGAAGCATACCATTTCGACCAACACTTTTAGTTCCTCTTGAGATCTCAGATCACATATAAAAGATCTTATGTCTTTCATAAGCTCTATAAAAAGGAATACGACTATCTTCTTGGCGCCTCCACACACCTTATCCCATATTTTGACTAAGACCGTTTCACATATTACGCCGGCAAAGCAAGTTGTGTACCAATCGTCTAACAGCTTCGAATTGACGTCAAAGAGTGCCAGCTTTTCTAAACCACTGCAATCAAAATGAAGTAATTAATAGCAATAGTAATTTTTACAGAGG